CAATCAATGAAGATGGCTTTCAATGTTTTTGAAGAATTCTCAATCATATCAGGTCTTTATTTGAATAAAACAAAAACGGAAGGTATATAGGTTGGGAAAGATAGGCACAACGGAGAAAAAACAAATGATATACAATGGGCAGACAAAAGCATAAGAATTTTAGGCATTCATTTCTCATATGATCAGGAAGTAGTCAGGAAACTGAACTTTGATAAGAGACTGGATGAAATAAAATGTACTTTTTTAAGATGGAAGAATCGGGGGTTAACTTTAATAGGACAAATTCAACTGTTGAAAACATTTGTTATGTCTAAGATTATGTATATAGTTTCCAATATTGAAATACCCGATGATTTTGTTAAGGAGGTTGAAAAGTTGATGTTTCAGTTTATATAAGGAAAGGTCCAGATAAGATATCACGGGCAACAATGATTGCAGATTATACTGAAGGTGGTCTTAAATTCCCGAAACTAAAATGCATGATAGAGACACAGCTGGTTAAGTGGATTCAGAGATATTATACAGAATCAGATCATCATTGGAAGTTGTTTTTTGACCACTATAGTAAACGATTTGGTGGAAAATTGATTTTTATGAGTAATTATTCTATGAGCCAGTTGAATTCTCTTGGAATTCCCATATTTTATCATAACTTGTTGTTAGCATGGTCCAAGACAAAGGAGTATAATCAATTGGTTGATGATCAAGGAGCCCAAGCAAGTGTACTTAGTCAAATTGTTTGGAACAATCAATATATTCTTATTGATAATAAATCAGTTTACTGTAAGGCCTTTCATGAGGCAGGTCTATGTTATGTATATCAACTTTTTGATCTTCATGGAAACATTGTGCAATTTAATCTTTGGAAAGCAAGAGGAGTACCAGGTAAATACTACATGATATATTTGGCAATAGTATCGCTAGTCAGGAAGAAATGGGGAAGTTCATTTAATCAATTATTGATACAAATGTTCTTGGAGAAAATAGATTATGAACATGATCAGTCTGACCTTTTGACAGTAGAAATTAAAAAACTAAAAACTAGAAATATTTATGTTGATTTAGTAAATTGACATGTAGACCTGTCTGTGAACCCCTATTTTCCACTAAATATGGGATAGAAAAGGAGGAATGGCCACAAATGTATCTACTCCCTTTTAAATGCACAATAGAAGTTAAGGTGAGAGTCTTCCAGTTTAAGATTTTACATAATATTCTATACACCAATGAGAGACTATTTAAAATGAAGCAAGTTCAGACAGAACTTTGCACAATGTGCGAGACCTCTGTTGAAACTCCTTTACACCTTTTTTATGAGTGTAATGTTGCTGAAGATTTAAGACGAGCTTTTGTTGATAAAATTGGTCTAAAGCTATCTATCAGATATGAGGATCTATCTAGGAAAAGAATGATGTTTGGATTCATAAAGGATTGGAAGGGACCACATCAAATATTATTAAATCACTTAATTATCTTATTGAAGAGATACATTTATATTCAGAAATGCAGGAATTTAGTAGTAAGTTTCATAGGTTTTGAAACGTTTATTTGCAAAATCAGACTTATAGAATTGGTAATTGCTAAACAAAAGCACAAAGAAAACATGCACTATAGAAAATGGTCCCCTATTGAGAATTTATTTTAATTATCCATAATTATATTTTTATAATGATACAGTTCAAACCACCCGAGACTGATTTTTTAGTTTTTACATCAGGTCTGTTTGTTTGTTCGTTTGATTGTTGTTATTTTTTTGTTTGGGTAATTGTTATAGTGATTCGTATTTGATTATTGTTCTTTTAATGTTATACAATTATTTAATTCTTGTATGATTGTTGTTTTTGTAATGTTACAACAATTTTCGAAAATCAATACCAATTTGGAAGAAAAAAAAATACAACAAAAGGGTGTTTCAATCCGCATATCAACATTTACTGAGGAAAACCATAAAAAGAATCGACAAAAAAAGAAGTATGGGCACACCATGGACTGTATTGTAAAAAACATGTGGAATAATTATGTTGATGGTGATATCAAGAAACGTTGAGGAGAAGTAGAGTTTTAGTAAAAATGCAAATATATATTGTGAACTTCCTACTTAGTGTCAGGTTATTTTTGAAATAACATCAAAGAATATATGTCCCCAGAAGATTTTTCACCTGCCCTCATATTTGTAAGTTATAACCAATTAATATCTGAAAAGTTTGAATCAAAATTGCACAAGATATGTCTGCACAGTGCTAGTTCAGTGTGCCGTTCTCTCCAAAATTGAGTCAATTTATCGTTGATTAAATTATTTAAGAACCTCAAGGTACACACCAATTATTTGGTGGTACATGAACAGCTTCAACAAAACAAACTCTCAGGTGGTCACGCTTCTTCTTCGCTGTCTATGTGAGGCTCCTTTGGACCGTCCGTGGTACCTGCTAGAGATCACACGCGGTCTCATATTTGTAACCTGTTACGGATGTATTTAATAAAATGCACATACCATTCTTTATATTTATCGCTTTCGCTAAATCACTTATCAGAAAGATAAGTTCACCGGTTATATCTAGTTCAGAGGTTAAAGTGTTGCTTGACAAAAAGTTGAGATTTATTCATGGGGTTATGTGTTAAAGGCGACCGCATGCGAGTTCGGGGAGACATGTTGGACGGTGCGAAGAAGCCTCACAGAGACAAGGAATCGTGACCACTCGAGAGTGTGATTTGCTGAAGCTGATCAACCATTTTTTGTCCAATTCCTTCATCACAGTTAATTTGACAATTTGACAATTCTTGACCAGAATTCCCCAATTATTTGCAATGAGACAACAAATTATTGAACTAATTTTCTTACATTTGTTTTCTTATGAAAACTATTAAGACAACTATTAGCACCATGATTATGTATTGTCTTTGAGTGCATTTTTATACTAATATTTTTGCAACATTTACAAACAAAAGTGTGTATTGTATGATTACGTAATGCACAATACGCATATTTTGAGTATTCTATATCATTTCGTTTTTGGTCTGTCCATTTCATACAGCAGTCTCGAAGCTATTCACTCGAAGAAACGTAAGAATGAACATACCTCTGAAATGGTGAAGTACTACTTTAACATCCGGAGTGTCGACAACACTGGCACAATGAGGCAATTTTATTTGGACAGGACGCTTAAACTGTAAGCCCCCAGGTTTGAGTTCAACGCCAAAACTTGCCACCATCTCTTCGCCTTGGATGCCCGGAACGGGAAAAGTTTCGAGTAGTCTCATAGATATATCTTGGTCTTGGTCAAGTGCACCTGCTGGTATAGTTAAGTGGACGCCATACCGGCTAAGATTTATCTCATCCCCTTCCGGACCAATAACTCGTTGCACTGTTCGCGTTATTCTTGTTGATTCAACATCCAATTCTGCAATAAAATTCAATATTTGTACAAGGATGAATAAAATTATCGCATTATTCTACATGCAGTTATTGTATGTCATTGTAGTTACGAATGGCAAAGGGAACCCAATATGTTTAACCTTACTAGGTATTTTTGGGCCGAGCTGCCTAAGTAATTATCGCTCAAGCATATCAGGTACCCATTTAAACATATGTGGAGAGTGGAAAAATATTGATTTAGGTATATCCAAAGGACGTTAGCACGGGGCTGGGATTTGAAACCCGAACTTTGTGATGTACAGTCCAACAACTTATCCACCAGACCCAACACGTGTACTATTCCCTGACTCATTGTGTCAAGTTTCGTTCAGCTGGCAATGAAATGTGCACATCAATCTATAGTTTCAACTCGTATCAATTGAATTCAATTATCATTTTGTTCTTTACGATATACAGATTATGCACACCCAAGACTCAAAACACACCAAAAAGCATTATGTAATTTTTTAGAAAAACATATCCTTTCCATTAAGGCATCCCTTTGGTAGTATCGAACACGAAATTAATGAGCCCATAATATATTAGACAACAATTATTGATTTGCAAAATTTTGGGAAAATTAGTGTATTATATACAGTCATAAATCATGTATTGTCGAGCATCCCCAGAAATTTTTCCTTTTTAACATAAAATGGTGATGACGTTTAAAACGAAATGACTGATTACACAATTACTTATGAAGAAATTTTGATAAAAATATATTACCATCCAATAAATCATTGCGCTTCTCTTCCGGTATTCTTTTTTTTAAGAGAGAGGGAAAGAAACAAAAAAAAAAGATTAATATTTCAATTGAATGTAATTGAATACGCATGTATATGCCGTGGATATTACGACCATGTTATTCAAACTTAATCAAAGACGGTAAATACCATATAGTATGAGTCAATTTACACCGATGCCTTTACGTTTTTTTTTTCTTTCTTCAATTGGAACACTCATGGTTGTTTATGTATGATTATTTTTTCACAAACGCTTTAAATTGTTCCAACAACCGACAAATATTTGCTCTTGAAATAAGGGATTCTGTGTGGCTATACTGTGTCGAAATGAACATCAAATATTAATTCTACTAAGATATAATGCTGTTTCAATACATTCTCAATGAGCAATACAATGTCTTGTTAAGTAGAGGCTAGTGCACACGTACGCACTCATGGATGAATAGGGCACGTATATTAGGACTTTACGTATGACCTGGGTTCTCTGCGAGCCCTATTCGCGGGATGTTATGTTACACTTTATTGTCTTCATACTCCTTCACCGTTTACCTCTGTTTGGTCTCATTCGTTTTCCTTCATTATTGTTTTTAAATTATTGTTTTTATTATTATTATTATTATTATTATTTTTTTTTTTTTATTATTATTATTATTATTATTATTATTATTATTATTATTATTATTACTATTATTATTATGAATCGTGTTGTTATGATTATTATTATTACTATTATTTTATTTATTTCTTTAATTATTATTAGTATTAATATTATTATATATATATATATATATATTTTAGCTTCTAGCTATACAATTTGTTCAATGAATTGGTACACCTTTCATTAATTACCTTGATACAATAAGCTGCCAGAGTCTCTGTGTGTTTGTACAATGTATCGGTGTGTCACCACTCGCGTCAAACGTTGTACATTTGGCTCCCTTGTCGAGGAGGTAGAGAAGAAGCTTCTCGTTATCTGTGAGCGGCTCGTACTGAGAATTTCTTGATACAACCTAACGTACAAAAACATGAGATTATTGTCATTTCAAATAGGTGCATGATGGTTTTACAAACAATACGCACAGATTTTCCTTCATTTACGTACCCGTAATGTTTAATATTAATACTGATTGTGTGTTATTGTTGGTATTAATTGTGTATATTTGCATTTTTGTTTATAATTATCCTCGGTAGAATTTTGGTTCAAAGATTAAAACAGTATTCATGAATATTACTTTAATTAGTAAAATATGTTAAACAACACATGAAACGGTCACACAGAGTTTATTTGATTTATTTCCGTTTCAATTATGAGCCTGGCTAACTGTACAATAGTTCTTGGCGTGTAATGAAATCTTAAAAGAGGCAGAAAAAGAAAATGATAAGAACTTAAAATGTTAACAAAACATTGTTGATCTAATTTTTCACATTGAAAAAAGGGGAATGAAGAATAAAATTAGTATATCATACAGCATTATCAAATTAAATCCTTTGAGATGACAGTTTCGGTTAATATATTCTTTCGGTAATACTATATAATTGGAATAATATCTTACCTGCTCAAAACCATTGGTGGTCTGGACCTTTTTGTCAAGATGTTCAGGACTACCCCACAGTGTAACAACAAGATGCAAACAGGTTTTTCCGTCATTGTTTTGGATGTTCACGTCTGCTCCGGCTTCGATCAAGGCCTCAATAATGGGAGAAAATCCACCTTCTACGGCCAGATGCAATGGCGTTTTCCCCTCACAGTCTTGCTCGTCCAATAAAGAGCAGCTCTGCAGTCCATACATTTACATCATGAAGAAAAAATACACGAACAATATAAATGATTTAGATGTGGCAGAACCTATGAAATCAAAATTCAGGATGATAATCTAAAACGTCCAAAAATTAAAATACAGTATAATATATACTTCCTTCATTTGGTGTAGGCCAAAATGGTGGAATATCTATGGATTATAGCGACTGGTCAGACACTGCCTCTGTGCCCCTCACCAAGTTTGTTATACGCAGACTAACCAAGAGGTAAACTTTCGCATTTTTAACCGTCAAATATTTATTTTCTATACACTTAAATCCGGAAAAAATAACAAGAAACAAAACAACTATGAAGCACTGCAATCAAGAAGTAGCATTCCAAATGTTAAACATGGATTACAGTTTCACTACTTCCTCAAGTGGGTTGCACAATTAACGGAAGCCAATGAGAAATGCTGATGTGGATTCGGATAAGAGAACCAAAGATTACGTTTCCTGTTATATGTTCATCATTTTTTATGCGATTGTACACGCTTTATCTTGAAATCGGTGGTGGGGGGGGGGGGACATTATCTTTCAAATTACTGATGAATGGAAGATAACAGAGTAAAACAACGATATTTTTTTCTTTCTCTCTCTCTCTCTCTCTTTACAGATGCTATTTTAAGCTATATCATATAATGAAACGCAAAATTACAAGAGCCTCAAGCAACTTTTGCGAAAGGAGCTATGCGACCAGAACCTAATTTTTAATGTAATTCACCGGTCAAATGAATGCGCATATAATTTTAAATATATTGACCATTCGCATATTTGTTCGTTCTCCTACATTTTGTGTATATCTGTTTTCTTTCATTCGCTCCTCTCTTTTGTTCGTTATACTGCACCCCTTTCTTGTGAGGCCCAGGGCATGCGTCCCTCTGCCCCATTCGTCTTGTCGACATTGTATTCTATTATACATTACCAGTGATTGTGCAGCACTTTCTACAACAAGAAATACCATCTAAATTGGATTACTTGATGCTTACATCTTCTCCCTCCTCTTGTCTCACTTCTTGAGCGAGCAAAAGTTCGACGCAATCCAAGTAGCCATTTTTCACAGCGGAGTGGAGTGGAAGATGCCCTGCGTTGTTCTTTGATGAGATAAGTTCTGACTTTCCTTCAAGACCAATTACGTACTTTGACGTTTCTAAACTGACACTGTAGAGAAAGGGAAATTACTTTCAGGAAGTAATACAAGTCAAGGTAATTCTACTTGAGCAAAAAAGACTTCGCAACTACTACTTGAGCAACTAGGCATTGGCAACTACTCGATTAGAAATTAAGAATTCAAGAACGACGACTGGCTCAATTGGGGAGTCAACCAGGCATGGAACAACTTCGTATTGAGCAATTGCTGGTAAATAAACTGAGACTTTGACAACCACGATAGAGAAACTACTACCTGAGCTAGTGACACGTTATCAACTATGATTTTAGCAACTTATATTTCAACAAATACTACTGAGCGACAAGAAATCGACCGACTTCTACTTTATCAGCTTATTATTGATCTACTACTACTTGTTGAAGTTAGACTTGAGGAACTACTGATCCAGCAGCTAGACTTGAGCAACTACTAATTTAGAAACTAAGACTTAGAGAACCAAAAACTGGGCAATTGGGGGAGTCAACAGGGCATTGAGCAACCGATAATTGGGCCACTACTTTAATAGGAACTAGGAAATAAAGAAAGAATACTATATGAACTAGGACCTGAAAAAACTGTTAGTTTGATACTATTAATAAAGAGTTTAAGAACTACGACTAGGAAACTATGAAAGTATGTCAACTAGGCATTAAGTTACCATTTCTTTAAAAACTAGAACTGAGCAACTACTACTTGAGCAACTTGACCTCTCAATTATATAAACCGTAAAGGGGGGGGGGGCGTACTTTGACGCTATTCATGTAGCGTGGTTATATACACCTAATTCTGTATCCAGTGGTTCCCATTATTTGTAATTTTCAAGAGACTAAGGTCAATTTTAACAATTTGCTTGCTCTTTCACATTGGAATAAAAGGTCTTTTTTAAAACTTTTTTGCCAAAAAATGATGACAAAAGTGGTCCGAATCAGCATATATATTTACATTGGACTTGGTTTAAAAATATCCCAGCATTTGCACCGACCAACATTATGAACTGATGTTGAACAGTGTGGATTAATTGATTTTGCTAATGTTAGCACACATTTTCATACGGTATTTGGACGTAAAGTGTAACCATCAATTGATTATAACTGAATAGTTTGCCTAATTGTGGAAAAATACGATAGCATTTGTAATAGATGGGGGTGGGGGGGGGGGGGTTACATTTGATTATTTTTCTAGTATCAGGGCACATATATACATAGAATATGCATATCAAATCTCCTTTGCTGATATAAGCGAGTAAGAAAATTCCCCTGACTGATTCGGGTCATTAAACTGATATTTTGTTTAATCAGCACAACACTTTACTACGGACAAACTATTCAAACCTTCCTTATAAACATTGTGTTTAAAGCCCTGATTTCCTAGGATAATTTTTTTCAAATAACTTTGGTTAATCAAAACAACGCGATGGAAGGAATGAAGCCGACCAATTGTTGCAAGGTTGAACTGAGTAGGCCTACTGCATTATTTCATGCACAAACGGTCGTCGTTTGGCCAGCGCAACACAGATCATCTACGCTGAATACAAATGCACGTTGAAATGACCGACTTCTTTCTTCAAATTTCTTTCAAATCGTCCTCAAAATATATGTATTTATGCAAATCTCAATTTTAATAAAAATGGACTTATATTATGGTATTGAAAAACAGTTATATTGAAATAATGTACCATATCTCGACAGTTCTCGTTGACACATTTTGATATATTAGTGTTAACGATAACATAAATGCAATCAATGCCATGAATACAATATTTGTAATCAGTAACACGGTAACCCCCCAAATCGTTAAAGATGGCACTGACAATGATGTTGGAACACTAGCAAAATAAAGGCTTAACTGTTAAAATTTTCCAAAAATAAACCATATAATAAGTGAACATGAATATCGTAATATACAGGAAAATATAAACACCACTTTAAATTCATTTTTTGTTTAACCATTGGAGAACGGATTAAAAATGTCCATATACAACAATTATTCATTTCTTTATAATAATGTGTACTTTGATTAGATCGTGCCATATGCCGCACATTTCGTTTGGCTTTCCAATTTTGACATCAATGGACTTTAATGAATTCTTATTACACTTTTCACTTTCAAATATATGTAAGTATAAGTATGTACATGTATATTTGCATACTGAAAGACTGGCGTATTGCAATTTATCTTGTAACGATATTTCACAAATCACCGATATTTCATTTCTTTGTCTTTCTGTAACATTATGATATTCGTTAACCACAACAATAAATTGCTAACAGATTAAGTTAGATTCTTGTCATATAGTTGAAATGTTAAAAAAAATGCGAGCAAGCAATTCAAAATGATATATCAGATATTAGTGTATATTGTAAGTTTTTTAGATCATCATATCCAAAGCCAAATGGATCGTTGTTATACATGGATGGGACATACACGGGACTACATAGTCATTTGGTGTGACATTTGGTCCAGATATTTGGGAAATATATTTTAATCTTGTTTCTTTTTATCTGTGGTTTAATGAAGACTTGTGTGTCCTTTCCCAGAATTCAACAATCAATCTAACATACAGCATACGTTTTAATTTAAAAGCCATCATGAAAATGGCATCATTCGGTTTGCCTTCATATTATCTACCTTGGAGGTCTACCTAGATTATCATCATTGGAATCATTGCTCTTTATTTGTTTATCCCCTCTTGTTCTTTTTCTTCGTCGGTAAAGTGAATCTTTCTTTTCCGTATAGGTCTATTTAGATTGTTATCCTTGGAAGCATGACTTTTTCTTTGTTTGTCATCTATTGATGTTTCATCTCCGTCGCTAGAGTCAGTCTGTCGGTTTGTTTTCTTCTTTCTCTTCCTTGGCGGTCCACCTAGACTATCATCATTGCAACCATGGTTCCTTCTTTGTTTATCCCCCTCTTGTTCTTTCATCTTCGTCTGTAGAGTCAGTCTTTCTCTACATTGGAGGTCCACCTAGACTATCATCATCGGAATCATGGTTCTTTCTTTGTTTATCCCCTCTTGTTCTTTCATCTTCGTCGGTAGAGCCAGTCCTTCTATTCCTTGTAGGTCTAAGGGGGTGGAAGGATGTGACACGAAACAACTTTTCAAGTTCGTCCAAAAGCTCCTGTGCTTCCGGATCGTGACTCAGATGAGACCCTGGCAAATGACTTTGGAGAGTTTTTTTCAGAATAAAATCCAGCAAATCATGTCAAGGTTCAATTTGTCCTCTCGTTACAAAAGGAAAAATCCTTCGTGTGTTAGTGAATTTTCTTCTTTCGAACCATTGTCTGAAAATCAAGTTAGAAAAGTGATCAATGCCATGACTTCTAAACATTGCAAGCTGGATCCTCTTCCAACATGGCTGGTCAAGTGTTGTATCGATGAACTGTTGCCAGTTATCACTTCCATCATAAACGGCTCGATGTCTTCTGGGAGTGTTCCTGACAGCTTCAAGGTAGCCCGTGTTGCTGAAGAAGCGTAGTTTGGATCACAATGACCTAAGGAACTGTATTCCTGTTTCTAACCTGATGTTCCTTGCGAAAGTTCTTGAAAGAGTTGCTAGCTTCCAGTTGAAAGCATATCTAGAGAAGAATTGCTTGTTTCACAATATGCAGTCGGCCTATCGCTCGTCCTACTCAACTGAAACAGCACTGTTAAAAGTGATAAACGATATGTTACTGGCTGTCGACAGGGGTTATAAAGCAATACTGGTTCTACTGGATTACAGTGCTGATTCGATACTATTGACCATGTGAATTTCATTAAAATCCTAAAACGTGACTACGGCATCAAGAGACGTGTTCACACCGCAGTGAGATAGCGCGGTATATCGTAGCACCCCCTTTTTG